TTGAAGGAATACCACGGAAAGCTAAGCTAATGTACAAGCAACCATTATTAAGAAATGCACTGAACAGGAACTATAACTTTCAAGGACATGATTGACATTATATACGTCTCATTCTGAAGTCTTTGAAAATATAAGTTTCTAAAGATACCTTTTTGATATTTTTTCATCTTTAAGGTAGGTATTCTTTTTAAATGTTTCTGCTTTTACAATATGTAAGTTTTTTTAAATTCTCTGTTCCTTGTTTGATAGGCTTATATAGCTTCTCACCACATGGCTTTTGGAGAGGGATTACTAAGAAGTTAGTGCAGATGGGTGGAACTAGTTGGAGCTAGAGCTACATGATTGTAATAGTGAGAACCACCATTCATATATGGCATTTAATTTATCAAAGTTGTCTTGAAGGCCATTTGGCTCAAATCATAGTTGCAAAAATCTGAATAAAGGGGCTTTCTTGGTAAAAGTACAACTGAAATTATTTGTCAAGAATTGTGATATTTTATAGTGAAGAAGCTCACTGCAGTAAATATATTTTTATCACTCAGAAACTACACTATTATTGAAGTCAATAATTTCCATATAATTCTAGGTTTGTAGTCTAGGCATTTTAAAAATATTTGTTTAGATCAGGTGGTGAGAGTCATACGTGTATTTTGTGATTGTTTCCCAACCTGACTAGTCAAATATAATACACATTTTTAGTATAAATGGTGAGCAATAGTTCTAAACCCTAAAGTATCATCACTGCTTTCTTCTATCTTCTGTGTACTAAAAAGGTAATATACATACTTGTAGCTATTTCAAAGGAGACAGTAGTGTATAAAGGACCAGGAACAAGTATGGGGCAGTTTGCCTGCTGAGAATGTATTTGTTTCTAGTGAGGCCTCATCATGTTATTCAGTCTAGCCAGAAACGTTAAAAACAGTTTTCATTAACTTTAGATGCCTTGTATAGATTATCCTTTTGTTAAGTTACGGTTTTAGGTTTCAAGACGTTTAGATTTCCTCATCTTCATGTCACGAAGATGGTGTATTCAGAGAGCTGGGTGTCCTGATTCTTGGTTTCAGAATAAGTTGAACAGAGTAACACAGCCAGAGGTTTCATTTATGATTAAAAATTGGTTTTAGTATACAGTACTCTGCATTGTGGATTAACTTAATGACATTTAACCCTATGTTTTGTATTATTTCTTCATGTTTCATCTGAATTTGTTGGCAAGACTCTAATATGCTTTGATCTTTCTCTTGGGTTATGAGATCTGAAATTTAATAAAGCACTGCTCTGTCTGGCATAGACTTTGTTTTGTGTTTTTTAACACTCAGTTTACCAGTGCATTCAGCGTTGATCTGCTGCAAGTTCAGTACTTGTGTAGTTGAAGAGCAGTATTTCAAACTATTATTGCTGACAAGATGCAGTATCATTCAAACTATTATACAAATAATCAAACACTCTAGTTGTGGTGGAGGTTTTGTTTGTGGTGCTTGTTTTTCTGTTTTTTTTCTGTTGTTGTTGCTGCCGTCCAGTAAATACAATGTAGACATAGAGGTGGAAAGTTCATGTTATGAACGTGTTATCTTTATGTCTTAGCTGCTGCAAGAAACTGTAATATTTTGTCTTCAAAAAGAGAATAACATTTTATCTTTCTAATGATCGTAGTTGTAAGTCAAATGATAATTTGAAAGAACCTCAGAGAAACATGAGAGATTAATCAAGATGAGAAAATGATGGAGTTTGTCTCTCAAGTCGTGCTGAGTCAGCAAGTATTACAGTAGTTTCATTTCAGTTTCTTCTAGCTTGTGACATGGAACCTTCTTCTGTTCACATTTTTATTACCTTTCCTCTACCATGCATTTTATGTTTTGATGTACATAACACAGCACAGAAAGTTATAGCCATAGCATACTCAGGTTGTCACCTAAGAACAATCAGATATTAGGGAGAGCTGGGAAAGTAAGAAGGCATTTCAATTCTGAAGTATCAGGGACAGGAGGGATACTATCTTTCATGCTGAGCAGTGAATGATGTGTCCTGCTGGAGAAGAGGAACTGCAGTAATGAGGCCTGGCTTTTTAAGAAAACATTTTTAACAGCAAGATGAATGGATGTGTTGACATCAGACTTTGAGGACCACTAAATCTATGACATTTTTTGTTGTCATTAAACTAAAAAAAAAAATCCAGCAGCAGAGCAGGATTGCTTCTCAGCTACCTATTTCAGCTGTTCTTTCCAAGTTTTAGCTGTCTGAGTAGCTGTTTTTCTCCTTTAAGCAGTGTTTCTCACAATTTGAATCCTGCTGCTCTGCTGCTTTGCATTGGAAAGCTGCATGAGAGAAGCAGTTGGCAGTGATGCTGAAGATTACTTTCATTGCTCCATGCTCATTGTTCTGTAGTTAAAATTTTAAGTCTTCTTGGATTAATGGGCATTTTACTTAACCTATATGCTTTGCCTGAATGTGGCTTTAATTTAGAACAATTCACTCCTTGTAATAAGGGTTGCAATAGAAGTAGGTTTATAAACAGATTGCAAGGTGAACAGAACAGTTGGGGGCTAGTGTTGTAATTATGCTTGAAATTCCTTAAGCTGTTTCCTTCCCTAACATAATTCTGATAGTTTCTTATAATGTTTCTGCTTTTAGACAAGGGAGTTCATTTCTTTCTTTTCCAATGAAAGATTATAAAAAGATTGAATAAGGTGGTGAAGGCAATTAAGTGAAAAGATTTTTTTGCACCATCAGCAAGTTTGCAAATGACAAAAAGTTGGGGGGGGAGTGTTGATCTGCTGGAAGGCAGGAGGGCTCTGCAGAGGTACCTGGATAGGCTGGAGAGATGGGCTGATTCCATTGGGATGAGGTTTAACAAGGCCAAGTGCTGGTCCTGCACTTTGGCCATAATAATCCCATGCAGCGCTCCAGGCTGGGGACAGAGTGGCTGGAGAGCAGCCAGGCAGAAAGGGACCTGGGAGTTTGGATAGACAGGAAGCTGAACATGAGCCAGCAGTGTGCTCAGGTGGCCAAGAAGGCCAATGGCATCCTGGCCTGGATCAGGAACAGTGTGGTCAACAGGACCAGGGAGGGGATTCTGCCCCTGTACTCGGTGCTGGTGAGGCCACACCTTGAATCCCGTGTTCAGTTCTGGGCCCCTCAGTTCAGGAAGGATATTGAGGTGCTGGAGTGGGTCCAGAGAATAGCAATGAGGCTGGTGAAGGGACTCGAGCACAAGTGCTGTGAGGAGAGGCTGAGGCAGCTGGGGTTGTTTAGCCTGGAGAAGAGAAGGCTCAGGGGTGACCTTATCACCCTCTACAACTACCTGAAAGGTCCTTTGTCACAAAAAACCCGCAACCCAAACAAAAAACATGCATGCTGCCAAGAGTAATGTACTTTTCAGAACTGAGCTGACTTGCACCTGATGATATCATTGATGCCATTTGAGTATACTAAATTTGATCATAATGTCTGGGTCTATAGCTACTGGGTCTGTAGTTTCCATGGTGCTCTTTCCTTGTAGTCACTTGATCATATTTACATGTGAAAGTGCCATGTCAGTTGAAGTGAAACAGAGGAACAGATAAAATAATTCATACTAATTTAACACTAAGTTGGGGTTTTTTTCCTTGATAAGACTTAAATACACATAATACAGACTGTCTTATTCTGTGTATTGATATTCTGTGTATTGCTCCTGTTATTATTTTGCAAGTCAAATGCATTGACAAATACTTTGATGTAATGCATCATCCTTCTTAAGTCAATACAAAGCATAGATTTGGTCTCCTTGGGTTACTCACCCTCACTTTAAGTAGTTTTGTGCCAGTTATCTATTCTTTCTTCTTCCTAGTTTAGCAGCTGTATGTTGACAGAACCAAAATATGGACTGTGTCATAAGTTTCCTTGCCTAGGAACTCCCTTGAAATTCTTCTCCTCAGTAAAGTTCTTCTCTAAGTAAAAAAACTGACTCAGCATACATTATCTGGAACTGCTGGGACATTTATGGAAATGTCTACAAGTTAGCTAGCTCATATTTGATGGATCTCACCACAGTAGATTACTTGAGGGGCAATTTTGTGCTATGGCTAAACTGATGTACTAGCAACCTGCAACCAAAAGGAGTGTTCACTACTGCTTGACTGAATGAGTAGATTAAAGACTGTTCTTGTGATGGTAAAATGTTCTTAGATGGTTCTGTATGCAGAACCACTCTTGGTTGCATCTGCCAGTAACACATACACCCTGTGGCTATGTGATCACTCAGTTCTACACTAGAAGAGCAGCAGGCATGCACAATTACACTATAATATATTGTTTTGAAATAGATTTATATAGTATGTATATGCTAGTCAAGTAAACAGAACTTTTTTTTTATTTCAAGTTATCTTGATGTCATGGCAATTTTGCAGAGTAATACAAGAAGAAATTGTTTAGTCTTTTTTGTTTTTTAAATATTTTCTTGGTTAATAAAGCATCAAGACCTATTTACACTGTGGTGGTGTTATGTTGCTGGTTGGGCTGAGTAAAAGTGAGAGACATGCTTGAATGGTTCTTTTTACTAAATGTTCAACAGCAAGTTAACTTTTAACAGAGAGAGAGCAAGAGATTCCGCTATTCAAAAGTAAAGTCTGTTTGTAATGGGTGTTGCAGTGAACATCTTGTGACCTTATGGAACAGCATTGACTGGGAACCCTGGAGACAGAGGGGTGATGTATGAAAGAAGGATTGTGACTCCAGCTATGAGTGTTAGCAATATAATCCTTTTTGTGTCAGATTTTTCAAGGTAAAAGATTGGTATCAGAAAATACTGAGAAAAGATTGTTTTTCTGCAGGTTTGTTATTTGTCATATATTTACCATAATCAAGTTTGACAGGCTTCTCTTTATTTTTTCCAGCAGACAATATTATTGTTGAAGATTAGTCAGATGCCTTCCGTCCATTCGCCGCCTCACATGCTATGTCATGCAAGCTTTGAAACACTTAGCACATAATTTAAATGAATGACTAATTTGGCAAGCATAATGGAAGGCACACATACTGTCCTTCAATTGCACAAACCCATTATGGAGCTTTGTTACATCAGCTTCTATCTTCCGGAGGGAAAAATCACTGGATTTACTTACAAGGGCCATGTAGCTCTGGATAGAACTAATAAACGTTTGTGTAGCTACTGTCATGTAAGGGAGAGGTTAGAGATGGCGCTGAGAGAACAGTCATATGAAAACTTTGGAGATATAATTTTCAAGCGAACTAACACGAAAGACATTCTTATTGAACTGTACAAACTAACTTCTGAAAAGGAAAAACTGTTATCCAGTCTTTTGAGATCGCATCATATTCAGAACCTTAAGACAGGACGTCAGGAGGGAAAGCAACAAGATGTTTCTGGAGTCCCAAAACTGAAAGGTGATAATTCCTCCAGTCTTACACATCAGCAGGATTCCACAAAGAGAGAGAATTTGAATCACAAAAAAATAAGGAAATACAGAAGGAAAGAGAGCTTTGAGGATTTCAGACATGGGAAAGGGGAAAAAAAGATACATGAACATCTCTTTTTACTGAGTGCTCAAGACATGCAACAGGAAAATAAGAAGATGCTCTCCACAAGATTTCCTAAGAGGAGATATCCCAGTTCCTTTTCTGCCTCCAGTTGGCTAACAGTAAAAGGTAAGGATAATTTACCAGTAGACAATAGAATACAACCAGAAAGGTGGACAGAAGAGGGGTATTTTCTTGAGAGCAACAGGACTGTGAAAGTGGATGTTGACTTACCAAGTTCAAGCTCAAAAGACAATGATGTAGTTGCAGTTGAACTAGTGGACAGTGAAGAATGCATTCCTGAAGTTTCCGTGGTACAACAGGGTATCACTTCGGTGAAGTCATCTCAGTGCAGTCCATCTAACAAATTTGAGTCAGTAAGTAAATCTGCAGCTGCTAAAAGCTTGAAAAGTAGCAAGTATGCTGAGCCAGTATGCAAGGAGAAACCCAGAATCCCAGTTCTTGCTGAAGTACTGGATTCAGAAGCTTGTATGAAAAAAGTTGCCAAACCCCCTGCAGAGTCTTTACCTGATTTTCATGGAGATAAAGAAGCCATTTCTCCTATTCTCACAACAGTACATGACCAGTTTATATCAAGAGCTGATGTATGCTCTGTAGATGAAGCTGCTGGAGACTCTAATAACACTGTGCTGCAGGAGGAGGAGGAAGATAGCTCTGGTTTGCAGTACAAAGCAGAGAGAGTGCACATTACTGATGAGTCATGCAACTTTGTGGGAGCAGTCAATAAAGCTCTTCTGAAAGTCATACGGAGTGACAGTTCAGATGAAGCTGAAGAATGGAAGAGACTGCAACAAATTACAAGAGTAGACAGAAACTTGCCAAGCTCACTATATGAGAAAAGAACCACGGTATCCCAGGGAAGCAGCAAGCATTTATTTTTGAACCTGCCTGTAAATGAAAGTCCTGATACTTCTCAGACAAGTAATAATCTTAAACTGGAAGAGAAAAGGCTGCATTCACCCCAGTTAGCAGCAGTGAGTAATGTTTTTAGTAATTCATATCCGCTATCTAATACACACAAACAAATGTCACCTATTCCTTCTCCGTTGTCTTCGAGACTGCCTAGCCCACAGCTGCATCACCGGATTCTCCCATTACCAAAACAGAACGCCGAGGATGAATCTATGCTCAGTGACTATGGCCACGGAAGACATGGTGCTATAAACTTACCTTTCAGTGATTTGGAGCCACAGGCTTATCTGAAGTTTTCTGAACCTGGAGAATTGGGATTTGCTGCGAGACAACGGGGCCTACATCAGAATACAACTGCAGGGCATTTTGAAAAGCGCGCTGTACAAGAAAAATTGACTACTCAGACACAGCAGAGTTTCTGTCCAGGTCAGTCCTATTTTGTAAATCTTTAGACTAATAGATTTGACCAACCATGAAAGTGTTGGACTGGGGTTTTTTAATACTGGCCTTTAATAATAAATAGTGTTTTGCAAGGAATGTATTTTTCACTACGTAAGGATTGAGTGAGAAGTTGTTGAAATTTTTAAATAAAAGTTGTTGCTATGTAAGATTTTCTTTGAGACATATTTTTCTGTCAGCTTGTATTAGTCCTGCTGTTCCTGAATGACCTCTTAACCAAAGTTAATGAAAGATTTTTCTGTACAGAATGAAGAAAGCTTGCATGCTTATTTTTCCTGCTTTTCCTGTGCTGTGTTCTAGTCTGTCAAAATGTTACAGTAATATTTATTATCCAAAATGTTTTTTTTAGCTTGTTTGGCTTAGCTGATAGAACATTGTCTGAGCAAGCTTTAAGTATAGGACTGGTGCTTTGACCATTTAGCTGCAGGAGGTTGATGTAAATTCTGTTACAAAAGTCTTGTTTTTAGAACAATTGCATGCAGGAATCAAGTTACAATGTATTTGAGCACCATACATGCATTTATTTATAAATATATACTGTGAATATAAAAATGCACAAATATATGACAGACTGAATAGCTATCTTTGTTAGCTAGAACATCAGCATCTATACCCTTCATTTTTTCCTTAAGAAACAAGAAGGCTGGAGGACCTAATTCTGCAGTGGTCTAGGCTCAGACTGGTCCCTGTGTGTTATAAGGAGGGCCGACAGTGCAAAGTGATAATGAAAGGGGATTCCAAAAGGGGCAGTGTGTAGGGCTATGAAACTATTACCTTAGCCAGAGGGTGCTGAGTACTGCCAGTGAAGCCGGCATTTATGCCTATTACTTCTAGAAGTTGCTTTAGTTCCACTCAAGACTAAGTCAAATTTCATGTCGTTTGATGAGTTAACAAAGGTGATGCAAACATTCATTGGGAGCAGAAAAGATGGGTGCTATGCTCTTGTTTTCACTCCTTTCTTGGTTCCTGTTCTGCTGTGTTGTCCTATCCGTCTCATTAATTGTACTCATCATACCTTTTGTTGAGCTGGTTTAGCTGACAAAACCAGCAGTTTCACCCCTTTATACTACAAAAGTAGCACAGCAAATCCTTTTGTCTTCACTTTACATTAGAATTTTTAAAAATTATTTTATAATTTAGAGTTGTTGGATATGGAACTGTACCTATTGTGCTGTACTCTTGTACTGTCTACCTGGGATAGAGTATATTTTTTTATAGTAGCTTGTATGGTACTGTGTTTTGGATTTGTGACGAAAACGGTGTTGATAACACAGGGATGTTCTAGCTTGTGCTGATCAGCATCAATCCCTTCTCTGTTTCTCACTCTGCATCACTTCAGTGAATAGACTAGGGGCTGCACAATAGGCTGGGAGGGGACACAGGCAGGCGGATGATCTAGACTAACTAAAGAGAAATTCCCTGCCATATAACGTCATGCTCAGGAATAAAAGCGTAAAGAAGGGGCTTTAGGGGTGTGAGCAATCTTTTGCTTGGGACCTGGCAGGGCATCGGTCTACCCATGGGAGGCGGTGAGTGATTGCGTTAGCATCACTTGTTTCATTTTGGTTTCTTCCTCTTCTTCCACTTATCATTCACTTAATAAAGAAATATTGTATTTGTTTGTTTTATCTTGACCCTTATGTTGTTGTGTTTTTTCTGTGCCTCATCCCCCTGTCACAGTTGGAGGAAGGTGGGGGGAGGCAGGTGAGCCACTGTGTGGTACTTCTCTGCCTACTGGGGTTAACCCGCAACAGCTTTACAAGACACATAGCAAGATACATACATACAAATAGTTTCTGTTTACAGAAAATCCTGTCTGTTAAGCAGAAAAGTCTTTGTGGAGAGAAGAAAATGCAGACAAACCAAATGTTAGTTCTTTTTTACAATTATCTTTCAACATTAATACAGATGGAAAATACCACTGCAACTTTCTGAAAGATGTAATACTATTCTGTTGGGTTTGTGGTTTTTTTCATTTTCAAGTATGATTGCATGCCAGCATTATTACCAGTGTGTCAGAAAATATATGACTGTAAGAGAAGTTTCCCACTTTGCTGGCATACATAACACTGTAGGAATGTCTGTGGATCTGGATAATATGAATTTCCATTTTCTTCTGAACTAGGGGTAGAATCATTCATATTGACAGAGTATTGGGAGTACCACTCTTCTGTAAACTGACATAAATAGTAACTAACAGACTATATTAAATATTTTAATTTATTAGTTTAAATAACGAATTGGACTCATCATACAGGTCTACACATAATTTTAATTCTCTCTTCTGATTGTTTAAATCCTGATTCTTCACACTTTTTCTTGATAATTGGTTAATATTTCTGCAGTCAAAACTGAAATATTTAGGTAAGGCCTAGTACCCTTCTGTACTTTCACTTTTTCTCAAGTTCAGTTTCTTTATAGATGTATAGTTATATATTTATGACACATATAGTTTCATTGCAAAAAGCTCTGTCACTAATTCACTTGAAAGTTCAATTTTCTGGATCTTCCTGTTGAAGTGCAACTGTTGGCCATGGGAACAGGCCACAGCTTTTAGCTTAACAAATTAATAGCTAACTGGAAATAATTTATAGTTCAAAAATAATTATTTAGCAAATTTCTCTGTAGGTGGGACTGGGAATTAACATTCCTATATTTGTATGTAATAGTTCCATTTGAATTATCAAAATTTTAAGTAAAAGCTTTAGAATAACTCAAGGCTTTCAAGAAATAAACTTCTCAGTTTCAAGCAGCAAAACCAGAAGCAAACCCACAAAAATTTCTCATAAAATGACATTTACTAAATTCCTCAGAAACATACTTCCTGCATTTCTGTATGAAGTTCTTTCTACTCTAACATGAAATACATTGTGCTTTTGTAGCCCTGGAGAAGGCAAGTTTGCTTTTGGAGTGATTTGAAATTTGTCTGAATATCTGTCTCAGGGAAAGATTTTCTGAGACCTTTTAGTTCCTGACAGTGGTTCTCTCTCAAGTTGTTCGCAGCGATATACAAAACTAGGGAGAAAATTTTCAGGGCTGTTTAATTAAGCATTATCTGAAGAGGAAAAGGATTAGTGATATTTTTAGCAGTTACTGAAGTGAATTTCATTGGGAGTAGGCAACTTAACAGTAAAAATCTGTGGTTATGACATAGCCTCTATGACTTAGGGCAGGGCAGTCCAGGACAGTTAACTGGTGACTCTGCTTTGAGTCAGGCTGAGATTGGAGTTGGTCATTCCCCACATTTCCTGTTGTATATATTAGTGTTAATGCAGAAGAAGAATAAAAATCTGGCAAGGGGGAATGGTGAAAGCAAGAAAGGGAACAAATGAGAAGAATGGTGTTACCCTATGCCAAGCCAATGAAGAATGCCCTTTCTTTGATATCTTCTAGTTGTGAAGGGAGCATATACCCAGAAAACACAGAAATCCAAAGTTAGCAGCTCTGTTGAGAAACTAAAACTAACTTTAAGTAGAACTGAATGAATAAGGTTTGTGCCAGGTAAAACGTCTGAGCCTATGGCACTCAAAAGGACAGGCCCATTTTCTTCTTACTGTCTTCCTTCCCACAGAAAAAGCCTCTTCACTATTCCTCCCCTTCTTTGGGACAACTTCGGTGTTTTACTTGCTTTTTGGTAGTTTGAGTCAGATCACTAAGCAAGTTGACAACTGAGCTAGCAAGGAGAGAGGTGAGTAGCTTTTGCTGGTTTAGTGAGCAAGTGGTCTAAATAAAACCAAAGCCAGGATGAGGGAGGACACAAAAGTGTGCTGCCAGGAGGCAGAAAGGACAAATGAGCAGGACCACTCTTGCAGCAGGGAATCATTTGATCTCCAAAACCTCAGTTGCATCCCAAAACTGGAAGCTAGAAGGCTGACTGGGACTGGCTAAAACAGAAGTTGTTAGGAGTAGGAAATAAGCTGCATCAAAATAATTTTGTTTAATTGACTAGTAAGATGTACCCAAGAGTTCTTTGTAGTATATTCTGGGTGTAATTGTAGCTGCATGAATCCATATCCCTGCTGATTATTAGATTGAGAATGTTGTGTTTGCTTGTAACTGCCAATGAGAATTTTATGGCAGCAGTTCACTTGCCATTAGAAAGAATTGAAAATGAACATTCTGGCAATTTTGTATGGTTGTCAAAAATCATGCACTGCCATTTGGAAACATGCCAGTTGCTAATGGTTATCTCTGGGAAATCAGTTTTTCAGTTACAAAATACAATAAAAGTATTTCAACCTATAAAAGACTGTTTACTGTAATACGGATAAATACTTGAATATGTATTATTCTTAAATTGTTTTAAGATCGTATTTTAGTCCTCAAAGGTTTTGAAGGGAGTGAAAAGCACAAAATGATATGTTCACTTTGGTAGTTCACTCGTTGGTGGCTGGAGGAACAGTTTTCATATCTCTGCTCTAAGACCTGCCTTATTCCTTAGAGCTTTTAGCTGCCTGCTAAACCTAGATTTTCCTGGGGTCATAATGTAAACATAGCTTACTTCCATGTGCGCAAGAATACTCTAATTCTACAAACATAGCAGATATATACTCCATAGTTCTACATGTCTGTTTAAATTTCAAGCATTAAAGTAGCAGGGTGAAGTGTCCATGTGAGAAACTGTAGTTTTGAATTTGTTTGAGTGTGTTACCATTAAGTACAAAAAATTAATCTATTGCTGTGCCAGTGCTAGAAACTTGTAATTGAAAAATTACAGGCAACATTTTTTTATTATTTCTTATTTAATGAAGGTAGCAAAAATAAATTAATATAAAGTTACTACTTGTATTTTATTTTGTCTTTTCATAACTTAACTAACTCTTTAAGCTGAAACCTAACAATACAGGCAGTTAAGAGAAATTTAATAACAAAACCTTATGACGTGTTCCTGAACCATGGTTTTGGAAAAGAAGTTTCATATAAACAAAACTCTGTTTGAAGGCTCTTATAACAGGAGACATTATATTATGTTGTTTTTGATGTTCCTCTTACA